CAATGAATATTCAGGTCTGATTTTCTTTAGGATGGACTGGTTTGATCTCCTTGCAGTCCAAGTGTTTCTCAAGAGCTTTCTTTAACACCGCAGTTCAAAAGCATCAATTCTTCGGCACTCAGCTTTCCTTATAGTGCAAATCTCACCTCCATACATGAATACTGGAAAAACCATGACTTTGACTAGATGGACCTTTGTTGGCAAAGTAATATCTCTGCTTTTTAATATTCTGTATAGTTTGGTCATAAATTTTCTTCCAAGGAGCAGGTGTCTTTTAATTTCATGACTGTAGTCACCATCTGCAATGATTTTGGAGCCCAAAAAATAAAGTCCATCACTGTTTCCATTGTATCTCCATCTATTTGCCATGAAGTGATGGGACCAGATGCCATGATCTTATTTTTCTGAACGTTGAGTTTTAAGCCAGTTTTAACCATGATGTCAAATGACACCCACTTCTCCTCAGGTCACCCAGTACTGTGAGACTGAAGAAGGTGAGATGTAGACAAGTTTTAGTGTAGCTTGTGAGTTCCATTATCCTCATGGTTCTAATATGTCCTTATGAGTCACAGTTTGTCCACACTTCAGTCTATTCCAGCTTTGTTCTACAACTATTACTCTAGCAAATTAACAATGATTTTTTTCTCAACACCAGATAAGAAGATAATAGCTTTGTATACACTCTTCCACCAAATCTAGCAATTGCTGAGTTCTAATCTTTATAACTAATTTCTTATTCCATACCACTGGTGGTTCTGCTTGTCTGATTGTACCTTAAGTGAAATAAGTCTAAGAAGAAAGGATTCAGGAAATTATTTCCATGATGATTCCAAATAACTACACCCAGGTGTGTGATATGAGTGTATTTTAGTGAAACTGTCACTTTACATTATTATGGAGCTAGTTTACAACTTTAGACAAGATTACACATGTTCTGTATGATTGATTTAAATTCAAAAATTCAAGAGGAGAATGCTTTAGTAGAAAGTTACTCTGGACACCTGAATCCAAATGACATAGAAGAAGCTTTCATGTAGAATTAATTCCTCTGATCCAGATCACAGATTAAGCAACCACAAGACTATCATTTCTTGTCTGAGGGCTGCAGGTGTGCATTTCAGCTGGGGTCCTGCAGCAGGGGGACTCTCTCTTATTAAGCTCTGGAGTTTTTGTTCAGCTTTTCCTATTACTTCAAACACTGAGTTCCCAGAGAGCACAGAAATACTTTGCAGAATGTTCCAGTTTTAAGAATGTAATCGTGAGGCTGATGGATTTATGTGCTTTCTGGAAGTTTACAGAGTAGCGGCCATCCCTTTCATTCTCGTCTTCTGAATACTGACGAATGAGGTAAGTCATCTGTCCACTGGGAAGCTGGTTGTACCAAAAAATGCTGTAGTCATGCACATTCCTACTGGTTTCATATTGACAGTTAAGGGTGACTATCTTCCCCACTTGACTGTTTATGACTGGCTGGTCTTGAGTAACTTTCTGGGCCACACCAGATCCTGTGGGAAAAAAATAAGAAAACAGAGCTGAAATAGTGAACAAAATGCTGTAGAAATTAGAGAAATTTTGGACCCAAATATTTACAAACCAAACTGAAATCATAAAACACTTTCTTTCCTCCAGTCCTCCTTTCCTCCCCAAGTCCCGGTGAAGCACCACGTGCCTGTGTGCAGTCCTTTCACCCTGAACACTCACACCCATGTTTGGGAGCATCCCTACCAGAGATGGTGAAGGCCAGGAACACCCAGAGCAGACTGGAGAGCAGCATGAGGCGTGGATTCCCCTGCACAAATCCGTTTAATTCTGCTTCAAGCTAAGATTTCAGTGTCCTTGAGTGCCTGGCAGCACATATACATAGCACCCCAGCTCCTGTGCGACTCCCCCCAAACAGGAAGTAGGGTGTCATGTTCATCGACCACGTGGTCTGTGTACAGACCAAGTCTGGCTCACCACACACCTTTCCTTTGTCTACTTGTCTTTCCCTGGTCATTAAGTTTGGCAGATTCTGAAAAGGGGCATGAGGAAAGAAATTAGTATTAGAGGTTTGAACTGAGGGAAACTGAAGGTTAAACAAGTTGACATACACTGATTCAGTAAAATAATTTTGCCATCCTGTTTAAGATATAATTTAGTATAGCCTACAAAACTTTCTTGTAATCTACAGATTGGTCATTAATTTAGCCTATGCTTACTTTTCTCCATCCAGAATCTAGTGACTATTTTAAAGCATTCACAGATCTTAGGCTTTCTGGGTGAAAAGCAAACTTATCCAAAGTAATTAATGTATCTCTGCCTTTTTCTTTTTCACTGAGTTGCAGGGCTCTACTTTGGTTTTTCAATCAGTAAAATTACTTCAACATGAAATGATTTTTAACAATCAGTCCCTCTGAATTTCAGACTCTATTCAGTGGTTTATATTTAAATGACATTGTTTCAGGAATAAAAATATTATTCTTTTGAAATCTGATATTGAGTTTTATGTATTAGACTTTGAGGGGGATCAGGGTATTCAATCCTGTTGCCTCTAAATGTAGAATTGTACTTATTAGATCATGCATACTAGAATCATCCAAATGTCACATTTTCTGTCTCATTGATCCAGAGCATTCAGTCTCACTTCTCAGTCACTCATTATTATTTCTCTTGGTAAAATAAAGTTAAGATAAACATGTCAGATCTTTCTGTGACATAATGCTATAACGCGCTCTTACAAAACTTAATATCTGCAAACTGCAGACACATAGTACTTGTCAACACCACAGAAGATGGTGAATCAAATTCTGTACATTGTTTCATGTTCATGTGGAATGTAGATGTCAATCTTCTATTTGGTTTCATTGTTGTAATAGATGAATTAATATAAAAGAACCAAAGGCAAATAAACAAGTGCAAGTTCACAAATCAAAGTAACTCATGAATGAGTGAAGCAGGGAGGTGAGTTTGTATTTATCTGAGACATCTACTCTTCTGTCCCATTTCACTTCTGAGTGCTGACAAACAATGAATGACCAGACTTGAAATTATTTGTAATTAAGTCTTTTCTCCATCCAGAATCTAGTGACTATTTTAAAGCATTCACAGATCTTAGGCTTTCTGGGTGAAAAGCAAACTTATCCAAAGTAATTAATGTATCTCTGCCTTTTTCTTTTTCACTGAGTTGCGGGGCTCTACTTTGGTTTTTCAATCAATAAAATTACTTCAACATGAAATGATTTTTAACAATCAGTCCATCTGAATTTCAGAGTCTATTCAGTGGTTTATATTTAAATGACATTGTTTCAGGAATAGAAATATTATTCTTCTGAAATCTGATATTGAGTTTTATGTATTAGACTTTGAGGGGGATCAGGGTATTCAATCCTGTTGCCTCTAAATGTAGAATTGTACTTATGAGACCATGTGTCCTAGAATCATCCTCATGTCACATTTTGTGTCTCATTGGTCCAGAGTATTCAGTCTCATTTGTCTGTTGCTCATTATTATTTCTCTTTATAAAATCAAGTTAAGATAAACATGTCAGATCTTTCTGTGACATAATGCTATAACGCACTCTTACAAAACTTAATATCTGCAAACTGCAGACACATAGTACTTGTCAACACCACAGAAGATGGTGAATCAAATTCTGTACATTGTTTCATGTTCATGTGGAATGTAGATGTCAATCTTCTATTTGGTTTCATTGTTGTAATAGATGAATTAATATAAAAGAACCAAAGGCAAATAAACAAGTGCAAGTTCACAAATCAAAGTAACTCATGAATGAGTGAAGCAGGGAGGTGAGTTTGTATTTATCTGAGACATCTACTCTTCTGTCCCATTTCACATCTGAGTGCTGACAAACAATGAATGCCCAGACTTGAAATTATTTGTAATTAAGGAGAGGAGATCATGAATGACCACAGCAGCTTGCAAAGCATCATATTATATAATATAGATATATATTAATATAATAATTACATATCTATCAAGAAATTTATATTAATAAAATTCTTTGAAAATACCATAACCTTATAAATTAGTTCTCATATACACTCTTAGATTATGATGCATCACTCTAAGAAATTTTATCACATGTATAGGTTCTTGTAACACCACTAAAATTATGATACAAAATCACTTCATCTGTCTAAAGAAATCCTCTTTGAATACCTTCCCCATCCCTGCAACTCTTTATAACCCTGCTAATTGCTGATCTCCTTTTTATTTTTATATTTTGTCCCTTTGAGAATGTTGTTTAAGCAGAATCACACTATGTATCAGTTCAGTTCAGTCCCTCAGTCGTGGTCGACTCTTTGCGACTCCATGGACTGTAGCACGCTAGGCTTCTCTGTCCATCACCTACTCCCAGAGCTTGCTCAAACTCATGTCCACCAAGTCAGTGATGCCATCTCATCCTCTATTGTCCCGTTCTCCTCCCAACTTCAATCTTTCCCAGCATCAGGGTCTTTTCCAAAGAGTCAGTTCTTCCCATCAGTGGCCAAAGTATTGGAGTTTCAGCTTCAGCCTCAGTCCTTCCAATGAATAGTCAGGACTGATTTCCTTTAGGATTGACTGGTTGGATCTCCTTGTAGTCCAAGGGACTCTCAAGAGTCTTCTCCAACACCACAGTTCAAAGCATCAGTTGTTTGGCACTCACTTTTCTTTAAGGTCCAGCAATCACATCCATAAAGACTACTGGAAAAACTATAGTTTTGACTAGATGGACCTTTGTTAGGCAGCATCACTACAAACAAAGCTAGTGGAGGTGATGGAATTCCAGTTGAGCCATTCCAAATCCTAAAAGATGATGCTGTGAAAGTGCTGCACTCAATATGCCGACAAATTTGGAAAACTTAGCAATGGCCACAGGACTAGAAAAGTTCAGTTTTCATTCCCATTCCAAATAAAGGCAACGCCAAAGAATTTTCAAACTACCACACGATTGCACTCTTCTCACTCACTAGCAAACTACTGCTCAAAATTCTCCAAGCCAGGATTCAACAGTATATGAAATCTGAACTTCGAGATGTTCAAGTTGGATTCAGAAAAGGCAGATAAACCAGAGATCAAATTGCCAACATCTGTTAGATCATAGAAAAAGCAAGAAAATTCCAGAAAAACATCTGTTTCTGCTTTATTGACTATGCCAAAGCTGTGTGGATCACAACAAACTGTGGAAAATTATTCAAGAGATGGGAATACCAGACCACCTTACCTGTCTCCTGAGAAATCTGTATGCAAGTCAAGAAGCAACAATTAGAAGTGGACATGGAACAACAGACTGGTTCCAAGTTCAGAAAGGAGTACGTCAAGGCTGCATATTGTCACCCTGCTTATTTAACATATATGCAGAGTACATCGTGCAAAATGCCAGACTGGATGAAGCACAAGCTGGAATCAAGATTGCTGGGAGAAATATTAATAACCTCAGATATGCAGATGATAGCACCCTTATGGCAGAAAGTGAAGAGGAACTAAACAGCATCTTGAAGAAAGTGTAAGAGCAGAATGACAAAGTTGGCTTAAAACTCAACATTCAAAAAACTAACATCATGGCATCCAGTCCAATCACTTCATGGCAAATAGATGGGGAAACAATGGAAAAA